GACATTGGTTTGCTCTATCCAGGGTACGTAATATCGCCTCCTTAGAAAAGCGGGAATCTTATGCACGACTTAGATTGGATTGAAACACGTACTCGGTGGTTGTCATTGTTCACCACTTCAAGCGCATCTCGCTAGCCTGCCCACGACCCACCCATATACCGCATATCCCCGCTCATAAGCGATGCTACCTCTTGTTCTGGTGAGTTTCTATCTTTCTTTCCATTGGCGTTTCCTCATGCGTGCATGTGGCAGGACGTATCCTCGTTCGGCTCGAGCGCTCGACATCGCCGGAACAAGCAGGGACGAGATCTGTCGTATTGTGTGTCCTGGAGATCCCAGAGCCCATCAATGTCCAGCACCCATCGATGTGGTCACTCATGAATAGGATATGCTTCTTCCTATCCCGAATCAAGGCCATTTAGTCGAACAATACAAGCAGGGCGCAGCCCCAGGTGATTGCCCACCACCCGTACTCGATAGCCTGGGATCGCGCATCTGAAGTATCGGAAAACTTTTGTTTCGTTTTTCCAAGGTGCGTGTTATTGACGTCGTGAAGAATCAGGGCACCTGTAACATCCGCACACGCACACATCTTCGACGCTCCATGCGCCAGCGTCTCAGACGCCGTGAATATCATCTCCACTCGTTCTCCAGCCGGTTTTCCGCCTATGTATGCCCTTCCAAAGCTGTTGCGCGGCAACAACAGCATGGTATGACTCGGCTCTAGGGTTGAAGGAGGCATTTCCTGGGCCTCCCAGATGCCGAGTTTTGTTGTTGGCACGTGTGCGAACGAGGATCTCCTGAGGAGCCCAGTTAGAGATTGCGCAGGGACCGCTTAGGGACGCTATCTCATGGGGATCATTGGCTTGAATCCTCCCTGCCCCGTTGGGCTCAATGCTGCGATAGGGCAACACGGAGGCAGGAGGTGGATGGGAGCAGCAGGAATTGCGCGGTGTGGCTGCTCAGTTAGAGGCGTTCTTATTCTGGAGAGGAGAAATCCATTTTCTGTTCAAGAATGAGCAACCCGGCGCCCTTGGACTGGAGTTCGCGTTCTGAAAATTAGTAAGAGTGTATGAATTGACGCAGACACCGCTGTCATAAAGAAACATAGGAAGAAGCAGAACTCCAATGCATAATCTATTCGTAATGATCACTGGGGTTGGGCGTCGAGCCGGCAGGGCTAGTAGTACAACCTTTCCGAAAGATTTCTGATTGGCCGTAAGCGGAGTCTAAATTTGACTGTTGCGATCGGGTGGTTTACCGTTCATCGAGCTTTTGATATGTTTCTCATTCCACGCGTGTGGGCTATAGCGCGTCCCAGAAACGTTTCAACTCCTTGCGCCACGCGCTTTTTTCGCCATACAGCGATAACTTCGAACCTTGACGCATCGCCTAGGCAGTCTAAGGGGGCCGCAACATCACAATTGCCCAAACCTCGGCGAGTACTCAGAACTCTAGACCCACAACGCATACAACCCCAGGACTTCATCGACATCTCAAACTACAAACAGCCCCGTTTCTTCAAGTCCGGATCCCAACTCGTGATTCTCCACTACGGGAAAACGTTTGGTCGTATCCCCTTTCCCCCAAAGTCACATGGCTTCCTCTACTATCATCATGACCCGAAGCTCCCGCTGACTACGGGGGAGATTCGATTCCGTCTCACCCCGCGCGACGACCCGGCGCAATTTCAGAACGGACAAGATCTCAAGGACATCCATGGGAAGCCTTGGGCGATCAGTTTATTGACGATGACGAAGTCCTCCTACGAGCCATTGCGGATGCTAGTCCTCGAGGACGAACTCGTTGATCCAAACCTCATGCGGGTTATCCAGCAGAGTCTCTCCCTGAATAAGTTCCACAGACAAGTGACTCCTCTTCACTACCTGGAGCACCCGTTTTCTCTGAACATCGCTCGTACCAATCATTTCATACGCATATTTACTCCTCGGAAGTTGGGTGTCATGGCAATCTCGAGCATTTTCAACGACAGGCGGAAAGAAAACACCAAAGGCGCGGTGCCTTACTCCGGTATGCTTATGTCAAATGCCATTGTCGTTTACTCATGGTAGACGTGTTGTAGGGCGTATTCTCGTTCGATTCGAGCGCTCAACGTTGCCGCAACACGCGGGGACGAGATCCGTCGTCTTGCGTGTCCTGGATATCATTGAGCCCATCAGAGTGGCGCATCCTGGATACGACATGTATCTTCCTATTCCAAAAAAAGGTTGTTTGGTGGAAACTCACAGCTCGGGCCTACAACCAGGTGCCCCTCGGCCATGGTCGATTAACCTGGATCGTCCGGTCAGAGCATGGGAGGACATTGGCTTACTCTATCCGGAGTACGCAGTATCACCTTCTTAGGAAAGCAGGAATCTAATTCGCAATTAGATCGGAGTGAAACAGGTATTCATTTAGTGAAAGACACAAGGGAGGTGCAGCCCCAGCGTGATGCCCATCGCCCGTACTCAGTAAACTTGGATCGCGCATCTAAAGTATCGGAAAACATTGGTTCACTTTTTCCAAGGTGCGCGTTAACCGTCGTGAAGAAGCAGGGCGCCTGTGACATCCCTTCGGCGCTCCATTGCGCCCGCGTTCGGTCTGACTCCGACTGGGACTCAGACCACTACACCCTGCATATCATGTTGTCCGCTGTCTGGGCTCTGGGGTTGCAGGAGGCATGTCCTGAGCCTCCAAGATGCCGAGTTTTGTTGTGGGCACGTGTGCGAACAAGAAGCTCATTAAGGAGCCCAAAATTGAGATTGCGCAGGAGATCAGTGGCTTAGATGCTCCCTGTCCCGCTGGGCCCAATGTTGAGGCAGGAGGCGGATCGGAGCAGCAGGAATTGCGGAGTGTTGCTGTCCAGTTAGAGCTTGGGGTGCGGATGCAGTCTGCAAAGCGGTAGTTCATTAACATCATCCGTGCAAAAATTGAAGGTGAAACATGTGCATCATCAGGTACGAATACACGAGGAAGCGGAAGAAGTGGAGGGGAGGGGAGGTATCCGTTTCTTTCTCCAGCACACTAAAGAAAAAGAATTGAGCGACCCTTGGACTGAAATTCGCGTTCTGAAAAGCGGTGTAAATTAGTAAGAGCGTATGAATTTGCTGAAGACACCGCTATCATAAAGAAATATAAGAATAAGCAGAACTCCAATGCATAACCTATTCGTAATGACCACCATGGGCTTGGGCCTGGTTGGGCGTCGAGTCGGTAGGGCTCGTGCGACGCTTCCAATATGGAAGATTGGCCGTAAGCGGAGTCTAAAGTTAGCTGTTGCCATTGAAGTTGGCCTGCGTTTCCCGAGCTTTTATGTTTCTCAATTCACGCGTTGGGTGGGCTATAGCGCGTCCCAGAAACATTTTAAATGTACGCACCTCAGCGACAACTTCGAACCTTGACGCATCGCCTAGGGAGGGGGCCACAACACGACGATTGCCCAGAATTCAACGAGTACTCGGAACTCTCGACCCACAACGCATACAACCCCAGGATTTCATCGACGTCTCAGACTACAGGAGGCCCTGTGTCAAGTTCGAATCCCATTCTGGCACCCTCCGCTACGCGTTTGTGCCAACCAGTAGAGGATCCCTCAGCGCCCCCTTTCCCCCAAAGTCACATGGCTTCCTCTACTATCATCACGACCCAAAGCTCCCGCCGACTACAGGGGAGATCCGATTGCGTCTCGCCCCGCACAACGACCCGGTGTTTCAGGACGGGGAAGATCTCAAAGCGGTCGATGGAAGTCCTTGGGCGATCAGTCTACTGAGGATGACGAAGGCCTACTACGAGCCTTTCAGGATACAACTCCTCGAGGAAGGACTCTTGGATTCAAACCTCATGCGGGTTATCCAGGAGGGCCTGTCTCGGAATTACTTCCACCCACACGGGACTTATATTCACTACCTGGAGCACCCGTTTCCTCTGGACATCGCTCATTTCAATCATGTCGTACGCATATTTACTCCTCAGAAGCTGGGTGTCACGGCAATCGCGGGCATGTTTAACGATAAACGGAAAGAAAACACCGAAGGCATGGTGCCTTACTCTGGTAAGCTCACTCGAGTATGTTGAATGCCAGTGTGGTTCACTCATGGTGGACGTGTTGTAGGGCGTATCCTTGTTCGATTCGAGCGCTCGACGTTGCCGCAACACGCAGGGAGCAGATTTCTCGTCTTGCGTGTCCTGGATATCCTGGAGCCCATCAAAGTGGTCTGTCCTGGATACGACATGCATCTTCCTATTCCAAAAAAAGGCACTTTGGTGGAAAAATACAGCTGGGGCCCACACCCAGGTCCCGCGCCTCGACCATGGTCGATAAACCTGGATCGTCCGGCCAAAACATGGAAGGACATTGGTTTACTCTACCCAGAGTACGAAAAGCAGGAATCTAAGTCGCAACTTAGATTGGATTGAAACACGTATGTGGTTATCGCTATACACCACTTCAAGCATCTCGCTACCAAGCATCTCGCTACCCTGACCACGCCCGCCCATCTAACACCGCATACCCCCGCTCATACGGTGATGCTACCCGGATCTATACCTTTAAGTGCGTGTGGCTGGGTCGAGGGACGGCAGAACGATATGACCTCAGGGCACGGGCTCAAGGAGTGCAGGCGCCAGTTGTTGTGAATCACTTACCGGGATCGGTACCCAATGTTTCATTGCAAATAGGTACCATCGCCCTTAGAAAGCATGCATAGACTCTTCTGCGTAAGCCGGGACCTGCTCCAGCAATAAATTGGCAGCACCAACTTGATTATGCGTCTTCGCAATGAATTGCGCCACTTTGTGTATGGCCACGTCATTTCTGAATATGGGTGGTTGTGGGCGGCTTCGCACAATCAATGGATTTCGGAGGTTACACTATGCGCCGGCATGTTCTGGGACGCCGAGATGTTCGGTTTCTTATAAGTTATTGGTGCTACTAAGTACTACATGTGCGAACGAGAATTTCTGGAGGACCCTACTCTAGATTCTGGAGAGACTGCTTCAGCGGGTCGATGGCGTAGCTGGTTATCGCATCTGTCTAACATCTTGTACTCTCAAGTCACGATGTGCACAGAAGGTCCTCAGTTCGAACCTGGGTCGACTCATATTTTTCCCTCACTTCCTTCTGGGATTGACCCAAGGAGAGATGGAATGCTATCATGCTATGGTCCTATGGATGATGTATGCTGGATCTACTACCACACTTCCATATTTCGCAATAGCGTAGCCGCTCAGCACGGGCTACAGCTATCAAGCCCATTCATAAGTCACTCTCCGTACGGAGTATATCCCATATGATGCTTTTGATCGAGCTTTAAAGTCACCTCCAAGCTTTCCACCAATGATCACGACGGTCGCCTCAAACGGAACGCACATTTGACAATAATACATAAGTGACTTAGTATACAGCCTCGTATTGGGTAAAAACTGAGTATGTTCCTTCACCGCCGGACATGAAGGGCGCCTGCTATTGACAAGTTTTCCCCATGTAGATTTAGGCACGTCTATTTCACCAGCTATACGCCCCAAACATGACTCGAGCGCAGTGCCTGGAAGTATAACTTGTTCGCCGTTTACGTCGTGGTCCGGCGGCGGGGGCGGGATCATGTATTTCTGGAGGTCTTGGCCCCAAGTTCTGGAAAAGCGCCACCCTGCTCACCAAGCCGGCGCGCATCCAACGGGAAAAGAGGGTCAATACCTCTGGCGATTTTGGTTTCATATATGGAGACTGCGGTCGCCACAGATGGTGAGCTGAAGTAACAAACAACCAAAGCGAGTGAACTACACTTTGGCGCGCTTGTAAATCCAGGATCGTAGGTGCCTGCAGCTCGAACTAGGCAGAGATGTGAGTCATATCCCTACGCGTTGAATACAGATGCATGACGGCGCCGTACAACTGCCAGTGCTGGGAGCCTGGAAGATCCGAAAGCGTAAGCCCGACTCGGAGGGCTTTTCCATCAGACAATAGGGCAAGGCTTTCCCTGAAGGATGGTCCAGCGAGATCTCTTGCGGCAAGGATTGAATACGTGCTCAACAACCTCCCAAACAAGCGTTGGGGTTCCCATTCACTGCTAGATGCGTTGATCAGAAAATGCGGGTCCATGATCCGCCGATGCGCCAATGCATCCTGAATGTAACCTTTAGGAGCCTTTTCGCCAACGTAGAATGTGTCCTTGATCAGTCCGCAGCGTACCAAGACGACTCATTTGATATTCCGCCGGCGAGTGATGTCACCGTTGACTCGCATTATTGTCAAAGCCTGTTCCTAGCTTCTGCTCGGATTATCTACACCAGCACACTATGCGTTTCTGGCTAGTCTGCCTGGCGCCTGACGACAGTGTCGGAGAATGACAGTTCTCAGGGGCTGGAAGAGTTTCGTCCTGGTTTCGCCTTGTGCGCTAAGAGGTGGTCCAGGACCTTTCATGATGCTTGTTGATCTTCCGAGCATCGTTGTAGATCGTTGTACGATGGCAGGGCTTGAGAAAACGTGAGGGCCTATCTGACCAGATTGGCAGGATCGTCTCGCAGCGTTGATACATCGATCAAAACCACTTGCTGCGGCGTGGCAGTTCCGGCGTGTCGCCACAGGAAATGAAGAGAACCCGCGAAGAAATGTCCCAGAGAACGTGGCAAGATCATGACGAGAAATGAAAACATATACTAGAAGTTCATTTCCGGCCCCACGTTATCGATGACCTGGAGAGAACATCTTATCGGCCGTATAACGTCATGATCTGTACGGTTTACAGAGCGCGCTGTACTCTGCTTCGCTGCAATCTGTCATGTTCACCTTCATCTGAACATTCAAATTGTCATCTGTGTTGACTTGTGCCCCTAGCCGTCGTCATGGTCGTCGTAGCGGCTCGGGGTTTACCCACGACATAGGGCAGTGTTTTGAGTTATATGAAAACGGGCGTCTTCGCATGTCGTAAGAAGGATTGCTTTGAGGATGCCGTTGAGGGCAAGGAAGACCCGACGGTCGACCCTGCATTATTTGACGCGCCTCACGTGATCGGCTAAATTTTTGAAGAATGGCCCTTTATGATTATCGCTGGAATTCTTTGAAACACCGTTGAACCACTCCGTCGCTCCATTCATCTTCGCATTTATACCCAGTAGGTCGTCTTTATCTCTCTTCCCCAACTCTCACAACCCTCCTCCTGTGCCAAGTTCCTCATATCATACTCTTTTCCCCTAGATGGATCTCCAAACCCTATCAAATCTATTCGCAACGACCATTAGCCCAGATCCCAATGTACGAAGAACCGCAGAGCTCCAGATTCGCAAGGTACTTGTCAATCATAGGTCATCGTGTGACATATTATCTTAATTAATCTCGCCAGGTTGGCAATGAAGAGGGCATGATCACTGCGCTTCTCCAAATTATCGCAGCCGATAGCATCGATCTGTACGTGTTTAAACGCGACGTGCCACTCAAAACTAACTTTCTGCAGTGCGACGCGCCAGGCATGCTCAGTCTGGTTAAAAAACCGCGTTCAGTCGCTCTATGCTCTGGATCCAACCTCCAACAGGCGCCCTGATCAAGGCATTATCGCTGCCTCCGATCGCGAAGCTCTCCGTTCCCATATTCTTCTCCTTCTCGCTGCATCCCCATCGCGCAGTATCACCTTACAACTTGCCCACACACTCAAGTCTATCGTGGCCCATGATTTCCCGGAGAGGTGGCCAGGCCTCCTGGAAGAGATCAAGCGCCTGCTGAGCAGCAGCAACATTAGAGAAGTTCATGCAGGATGTGTTGCGGTCTTGGAGGCTGTTCGCGCGTTCAGGTTCGTTACAAACGTACATCTCGCAGGGGTAATGCTTGATCGATGGCTCATAGGTTCCGTCCCCGCAACACCGATATTCCTCAAATCGCGGCAGAGGTGTTCCCGATTTTGGTCAATATCGCCACCCAAATGCTCCAGACTCCCCCCTCAGCTGCTGTCGAGATCCCAACGATGCTTCATCTTATCCTCAAAACCTACAGGACGAGCGTCGTGGTCGACCTCAGTGTGCATCAGCAGAATAAAGACAGCCTTGTTCCATGGGGCCAGCTCCTGTTCGCGGTCGTCAACCTGCAGATCCCGGAAGATGCTGTGCCCGAAGATGAGGACGAACGCGAACGCTCCGAATGGTGGAAGGCCAAGAAATGGGCGTATAACATCCTTGGTCGCCTTTTCCACAGGTAGAGCGTTTCACTGAATAATCAGTCCTGATGAGCGTTGTACTGACTGTTTCCAGGTTCGGGAACCCGTCGCAGCTCCCAAGTGGCATGAAAGATCAGTATGGAGCCTTCGCACAACATTTCGTTACCAATTTTGCTCCCGAAATCTTGAGCACCTACCTCAATCAAGTCCAACTCTTCGTCTCCAACCAGGCCTGGCTCTCAAAGAAGTGCCAGTACCAGATCTTCCAGTTCTTCACCGAATGGTACGTGTCGGTAATGGTGGTGTCGTGTATAACAGATGCTTACCTCTTGGGACCGTACGCAGTATCAAGCCCAAATCCACCTGGGTCCTTCTCAAATCCAGCGTCGAGACCCTTGTATCATCGTTTGTATTCCCTCAACTCTCCTTCAACGAGACCAAGAAAGCTCTCTGGGAAGGCGACCCAGTGGACTACATCCGCATCTCTGTTGGTGAGTCAGACGAGCTAAGTTCCATTGCTTCTCCTGAAGACTTAACCTTCCCTCCACGCAGACGAGTATGAGAGCTTCGCGACGCCTGTTTCGGCAGCGACCTCGTTCCTCTTCTCGCTCGCGAGCAATAGGACGAAGACGACCTTCATGCCCATCCTTGGCTTCATCAACACGGTGTTGCGATCGTGCGTGTTCATGCGATATGTCTCTCCTCGGACTTCTTATCTTATTCTCGTCTTCCACAGAAACTCTGCTCCCCCGCAAAGATTTGGCGCTCTGAACATGACTGCGGCCCTAGCTCCGTGGATGATGCGTCACCCCGATGTGAAGGGTAACATGGAGGCCTTTGTTCTCCAATTCGTTACCCCCGAATTCACCAGCTCCGAACCCTACCTCAGGGCGATCGTGAGTCGTCCTTCCAAAGCATCAGTGCTACATCAACATTTCCGTTCTGATTCCTATAACCTTGATAGGCGTGCGAGGTGATAGGAACCGTGACGAAGGCCGGCCTGACTTGGTCTAATGAAGAGGTCCGTGGAAAAGCTTCCCTTCGTCTGGGCCCCATGGCAGTGCTCATCACCCTCCTTCTCTTCGAACCCCTCAGAACCTCAACGTGAACTTCCGCGCGATCGCGGCCGCGTTGGACGATCCCGAGTTCCCAGTCAGGGTCAATGCAGCCTTGGCACTTACCGAGCTCGTCGTCGCGCATGAATCCGGTTCGTCCATTTCCCTGGAACTCTTCTGTTCCCCCTCCCACCACCCGTCGCATCTTTACTTACCGAAACCGAACCACCCCATGTAGTGAAAATCGCTGTCGCACCCCAAGTTGGGAAGGTCATCCAAGGTACGCGAGTTGTTCCTTAGCTTCGACAAAATCGCCGGCTGTGCGAAATAACTCAACGGTATCGCGTGGTGGTTTCTCCGGTTGCAGATCTCCTCAAGTTGTCTGATGAGACGGATTTGGATATCCTCAACAGCAGTATGGAGGTTATGGTCAACGCCTTCCAAACGGAGCTGCTTCCGGTTGCGGCACAATTGACCGCGCGCTTGGTAAGCCGTCTTCCTCATGTTTTTTTTTCCTTCTTTGACATCAACCCCGTTCTTTTTAGTGTGAATCGTACTTGCGTCTTGCGAAGGAGAGCCTTTCGCAAGAGGAGACCGATAGCCAAAATGTCGATCTCGACGGTCTTCTTGCCAATGTCGATGAGGACAAGACCTTCGCGGCTATGGGAGTTGCCAAGACCATCGGCACGGTTAGTGACTACCGCTCTCTGTTCTGGGCGTATTCTAATGGTTTTGTTCCATAGATTGTCTCTTCGATCGAAAATTCACCTGAGATTCTAGCGCAAGTCCAGGAAGTCATTATCCCTATTATTCAATACACCCTCGAAAACAAAATCCTTGGTACGTTCCCCCTTGTCGTGACTTCATTATGACTAGCAGCTTATACATCCAAAAGATCTATTT